AAAAAAGAAAACTTCGTCAAACCCTCAAAGAAGAAGTTACATAACGTTACCTGGAGGTAGCGGACGAATCTGAGTATGATGAGCTACTTGTACTGAATTTTGGTGTTTAACAACTATTCCGTCCCGTTGTTCATTGACAATAGGAGCATTTCCACTAGGGACAGTATTCTGATGCACCCGCGAGTGCTGGAACCGTGGAGAGTACGTTTCATGGACTGTTTGTGACTGCTGACGGAACTGCTGGACTGGTCGCCCTTGGGAGAGGGGTTGTTGTATTTGCAAATGTTGAAGTTGCTGCTGTTGATGAGACTGCAAATGATATTGGGCATGTCCTTGCAGAGGCTGTGGGCGTTGCTCAAGATTCTTAACATTGGGAAGCCTACACATCCTCTGCGGTGCCATTGCTTGAGATGTTTGAACTATTCGTTGCTGCCCTTGACAAGCTGTCCGGATGTGCTGTTGTTGCTGAATTGGCACCTGTTGCACTGAAACTTGCTGAAGTTGCGGTTGTTGACTGGTAGGCATACCCGTCTGCTGTTGTTGTGGATTGACCACAACTTCCTGTAAATGTTGAAGGCCGCCTGTTCGTTGTATCCGATGTTGCCCCACTATTTGCTGAATCTGCACTTGGGGAGGATTCCTTATTTGCAACTGCTGCTGATTAATCGTATTTTGAAAATGATGTTGGGTAACTACTTGCATCTGATGCTGTGAGTGCTTCTGATGCAGATTATTATGCTGTAAGACTTGCTGCTGTTGCACTGCCCCTTGGTCAGCAACTTCGGCAGAATCCTAGACGTAACAAGAATGTGTAAATAGAGTGATTTAAAAACGGATCAATACATGCAAAGCATTAAATTGGTGACCAAAAGGTTTTGCGAGAAATGACAAAACAAGTGAACTTACTAATGCACCAGAACTGATTGAAACTGGAGAAGCGGACGGAAAAAACTGGTCATTCTGCGTGATTTCGCGATTACTGACAATTTGTCTTGTGGCACCATAAACTCCCTAAGATTTAGTTTTCAGTGTTAATAAATTTCTAAAGCAAAATGTTATATAAAGCTCGATCAGTTCTAACCTGTGCTGAACTTTGAGGTGAATAATTTGAATTAGAACAACTGGGGTCAATTGATGAAACGGGTTGGGAGCACACAAAGTCTATAGGCTTAGAGGGTTCAAGAAATGTAACACGAACTTGAGGCTGAGTTCTCTGAGCTCTAAAAAATTATCTTCAAAGCCTCGTGTACACATTAAAAATGAACTCCAAGTTTTTGAACAACAACCTTTTCCGAAGTGAATTTTTCACTGACTGCGCTCCAATATCACTTAAAACAGCAGCAGAAGTTGAAGACGTCTGCTGACAGTCATTTGGAATTTGAGCCGTCTGTAAACAAATAAGCTGAGACATTTCAATGATAACCAAAATGGACTAATGGTAGCATATATCCTGCGGAAGTCAACAGTGTGAAAACACGAAATCTTCTGCAAAAATGCCCCAAAAAAAAACTTTTTTATTACTTTTAGGTAATTT